TCCAGCTAAATCTTGGAGTACTGTTGAAGATGTAATCCCTACGTCAGTCCGTTTGGTGACCGTTTTTGTGAGTAGTTTTCAGAAAATCCTGAGCATAGATTGGACAGTTGTTGCGAGTTCACCTGTCGTGAGCACTAGACACCAACACAAACATTCTGAAGCATATTCTGAAGTATAAAGCTGCCTGAATAACAGAGTTGCTACTCTGTCTCATCGGCCTGTCTTCCAGAGTTCGGGGACAGCGCGACTACATCACAAGGAAGATGAATCACACTTTAATGTATTTGCCACTGACCAGCACGGGTCAGGCATTATTGGTCAGAAAATTGCATTGACTCCCGTTTACATATTGGCAAACGATGAATGTCGTATCCTTTATGATGTAGGTGAGTCAAGTTTTTTTTCGATGAGGCCTAGAATTGGTGGATCCGGGTGTTACTTGTCCTGTTGGAACGTGCGGCTGATTTTGATCAGCTGGGCGTGCTGGTGTTCTGAACAACAGAAATGACATTTCAGCGTGGTCATCTGAGTCATCTGAGACAACAACTTAGGCCACAATCGACGTCACAGTGCCATTGTAACGAATAACTTGGCTTAGCATACGCTTAACCGTGTATTCGGGGCGAGGTGGCCCAAGTGGATAGAGCGCGAATTTACTGACCGGAAGGTCCGTGGTTCAAATCCGATCTCTGTCTCTCGACTCCCCTGTCTAGGCTTGGGCAACCTGGCAGTATCCCAGCCCTCGTGCAACCGTCGGGTGGTATGGCAGTTAGGCACCGAAAGGGTGCTACAGCTGAATGATTGTTGTTGTTGTTGTTGTATTCGCAACTCAGTGGATTCACTATTCACCGGCAGACAGATGAAGTACTTGAATCGTGGTAGTGCCAGTCCTCATCGCTGCTGCACGATGGCTCAACCAGTTTCAGTTGAACAACATTGCGGTGCCGTTTGGCTGGCCTGTCCGCCCGAACCCACTGAATCAAACATTGGACGGTGCGGCGTGATAGTTCACGCGAAATCTTTGTTTGATGGAGTTAAGTGATTGACCGGCAGCAGTTTTGTTCCCTTGTTCACTTTGTAGAATTCGCACGATTACCGTTGAGATTATTATCAATACGATTGCTGGTTTGCATGAACGTATAAATTTATTGGGGTGCAGCAAGTTGGCAAGTTGGCTACACCTCACGAAGTCTACCCGGTAAAATGGCTGTCACAAGTCACACAGTGAGATAGGGAAAAGAGGGCATTGATGAACAGACCTTAGCCACTGAGTGGACGAAAGGAGGTGTTTCAAAAAAAAACGGAAAGCATCACGAGATTCCCTCCCCATTGCTGGCATATACCAGCCTACGACATAATCACACCATGTTTTTGATTTTGCGGAAGATTCATATGGAACCCAGCTGGATCTCTCATCCGTCAACATGAAGTTGATGGAAACTTGAGGACTGATAAGCTCCAAGAAAGGTGAAACCGGTCGTGGCCTATCGAAGAATTTTCAGCAACCTTATGAGTAGTGTATCACGTCTACACACCACAACCTCTTAATATTCCTCCAGGTCCTTGGTCAAAAGAAGCCGTTGGGTTCCAGGAGTGACGAAAAGACTCCCACGGTGAAGAAACACAGTGGCATAGGACTTAGCTACTTGCCTGGATATCTAAGTCGATAGCCACATAAAAGCAGCTGGCGCCTCTAGCAATTACTACATCATCTGGTTACGTTGACAACCTTTGCGGACATGATTTATTTTGTCAGCATCTTACAGCGAACAGCAAAATTACAGCGACAGTTAACCATTTATTCATTTCCATCTATTCGCCACTTTGCCGTAATTTCAGAGGCCATTTTCGAGACAGTTATTTTCGTATCATCCCTTATTTGGACATAGCGATCCAGAGGACAGGTTCCCACGGTAAGCATGCAGACATATGCTGCTAATCTACCGGCGATTTCCAATTCCATATTTCAAGTTTGTAGAAAGTTTGAGCATATACTGCAGCTGAATTGACACACCTTGCAGTCTCTCTTTTAAAGCACACAAATACGCCGGACTCTTCGGTAACCAAGAGCGAAAAACTGTAAATGTTTCTTGTCTCTATTTGTTCACCACCTCACAAAAATCATTTTCATCCCTAGAAAATTCTCTGGTGCCGTCACTTCTTACCAAGGCATTTTTACTTTCAAATGATTTCGGTACTATTTGCGTAATTTTCGCTTTTTTGTGGGCGTGCAATTTTCTCTCCACAAAATGCAACGCACGCTGAAATAGCGCCCCGTACTGACCGACTGTCGGTACCTTTTCAAACCGATTCGCCTGACACAATTGAAATGGGGCATGAACCAAATAGCTTTCAGAACAATCATGACGTATAATTGTGGCCATCTGCTATTCCGCAGCACTGCATTCTTCTTTTCACGGAAGCCCCAGTCACTCGTAGTGTCTGAAATCCGAGATGCTCATTAAAAGTTTGGTGCCATTTCTACCTAGATTCCCTTCAGACGCTGCGACGCACTAAAACTGTTGTTCATGCGTCGTTGAATTACGATCACTTGTTGATGGCTCAATCGACATCGGGAAATGAACTTGTTCTAACTGTAAATCTATACGGCGGTTCCCAAGTTGCAGCTGTGTGCGATCCAAAAAAACGTAACAGCCACCAGGTAAGAGATAGTCAGGATTGCAAGAAACACCTGGAAATTTGAAGCCTTACGTTAGCATGATCTGAGCCCTGATGTCCTGCCACAGGGACGTGAATCCATCATCAAACTTGACCTTCAGGGTCTTTAAAAAAAGCACTCCAGTTTGGAAGCAAAACGACTCCGTTTTCTGGATCTGAGTATTCAATTACTGACACCACACAAGTTTTTCCATGATAAAACCTGCCTACTAGTGAAAACCATATCCCTCATTGATAGCCTGTCCCTCATTTCTCCCATTACTGGATGTTCTCGTGGGTTGCTACTGGCGAGGGGATTCTGGCACTAGTCCCGAGGGGTACCTATCAGACACAGATACCCTACGTTTGTCGTGCATGGTCGGATTCTTAGCGTATCCTGTGTTTTAAACCCACGGATTCTCTAGAACGCTTAAGTTGGCCCCTGTAAGAGAGGGCAATCCCTTAGGCATCTGAAGTGAAAGACTCAGCGAATGAAACCCATTAGTACAAATCCCTCTTGAGTTGTACAGTGGTAATTTCATATGGGTGTCAATTTCACTCACAGAGACGTGCTTCCATCCCCCAATCTCCGCCTTCTTGTCGGAAAAACAATCCGAAGTTAATGAACGAAAGTGGTTTTTCCTGGGAAATGGCCTCTCTTGAGAGTGAGACAACAGTTTTTCTTACCAAATATTCTTTATTTACTCCGTTTATTCCAAGTATGGCACACGATGTAGCAGAGTTACCTTTGTAGATGGACCCACCGGTCATCTAGGTGGAAGTGGCGCTGTCCCCAAGTTCACATCTTTTAAGGTGACTTTAGAAAATTTCATTTGGAAAGTTAAAGCAGCATTTATTAATTGCTCCATTATTGGTTGTTGATCAGACGGCTGTTGATCTGTTCGCCGAACTTGGCAATCGGTTTGCAAACGCTTCGTCACCGTACGAGCAGACATCATCAGTGCGCAGCTGGGTGAGTACTTCTTCCTTACCTTCGTGCGTTTATATAGCATTCGACGGTCGGTAGGTTACGTTACTTGGAAGGACGCGCTTCCGCAGAAAATTCACGGGGGAAGTAGAGCTATTGTCGTGTGAAGGCTTATCGGCAGGCGAAAGTCTCCCATAGACGGGCTGTTTTGAGCGTGGAACGCCCGAAGCATTTGGTAATGTGTTGGAATATTGGTAGGTCGGGTAAACTTATTGGTTGTTGATCAGGTGGCTGTTGATCTGTTCACAAAGCTTCATTCATGCCAGGCGTCACGTGACGTAACCTACGGAGCGTCGAATGCTATATAGACGCACGAAGGCAAGGAAGAAGCACCCACCCTACTGCGCACTGATGATGTCTCCTCGTATGGTGACGAAATGTTTGCAAGCCAATTGCCAAGCTCGGCGAACAGATCAATAGACACCTGATCAACAGCCAAGAAACTCACCCAAGCTACCAACAGTTCAACATAATCGCTCCATTTTCATGGTAATCTTCCATTTCTCAACTTCAAAAGAGTGTGGGTCCACACCGTAGTTACACGACTATGTAAATAGGTTGGTTGTCGCCCGTTGGTTGAAAGGCCTTATGGTCAAAAATAGTCCGCAACTGAATCCGACAAACATGTGCAAACAGAGGGATATTTCAGGACATCGCTGCCAAGGATCGAACATTCTGGGTTAGTATTTTTATAGCCACATAGCTGACAGCATGAAAATAACAACCAATAACTTTTTAACAAGTTGATCACCGTGCGCTTGTGGTTTCTGTGACAAAAATAGTAGGTGAAAACGAATCTGTGTTGAAAAGATGGTCTTTTTTAATTTAGACCCGTTTTTTCCTTGTCACAAGCGTTCTGCCTGACGTGGACATGAAAGTTTTCGGATTCCGTGCATACTAGCATTTGCTTTACTTTGCAGGTAACTAAGAGATTCCAGTGGAAATCAGCAGACTTCCATTGGTAGGTTGGTATTAACAGAAGTTGACGGAGTTGACGGCAGTAACAGCAAAAATGAGCAAAAATCGATGAGGATAGTCGAAGAATTTGAAACTGGTAATGAAGACAAATCAAGCTGCTGAAGATCACCAACCGCGACCACCGACAAAATGGTCAGCTATTGGGTGAAGGAGAGGAGTCGAATCCAAGTAGGATCTGCTGAAGGTGACTGAAACCAAATGGAGTAGGATTATCCGACCCGGTGACAGGAGAGGAAACCTGGGCGCACCATTTGTAAGCCCAAAACGAGGAATCAGTCCACGCGATGCGTCATATTTCTTATTTGTGGCTTATAAAGTTCATAAGCAACACAGAAAGCCACGGTGGCCTTATTCTTGGACGACAAGGCGGTCACTCTCATTCTTTTTTCTGGGATTCGGCCATATCAATACCAGTAAGCGCTACAATGAGACATTCCAGAGGCCTAGGAGGATCATAAACATGAAGAGAAGGAACAAAAACCCGAAAGGAATTCATACTCATATTGACATGCTGGGATGACTGTGAGGAAGTGGAAGTGGCCATGAAGAAGTCAACGGGACCGCGCACACCGGAATTTTTCGAACGTGATTCTAGAGGACGTTGCATCGCTTCCGATTGGCACATATCTGTCTTTTCGGACAGAGTTGCCGTGAAACGTTTGGAACTTGAAAAACGCATATCAGTTTTGAAAAGTTTCGGATGCAACCCTACTACACCTTGGAAAATGGAATACTATTATAAATTATATTTCCGAAAAATTAACCGGTCACCGACGAACAACAAAAATGTCTAGTCACGTTTTTTACCTGACGGACTGATTCACCATTCTGTTCTGTTGAACAGAACAGTCAGGTCGAAAAGTGCAACGTGCCGAGAGCAGGCAGTCATCTAAACAGCAATGTCAGATTGAGCGCCATCTTCCATTTTAGCGTGTTGGCAATGCCCGAGTGCGCCAAGGATAGGTATCACTCAGGCACCATGGTAAGGACCACTACTTACCGATCGACCGCGTGTCAACATGTCATATGCACATATCCTGCTTGTATATCTCATCAAATGTCACTAGTTTCCAAATTATGCACGTGTAGCCGTTAGCCATTTGGAGTTAGGCTGAGCGTTTGCACCAATATCGGCCACTAACTGACTGTGTAGTTTCCGTGATTTCTTTTCTAAACAGCCTCCAACCACAATCTCATCAGGCCGGACAGCATGCACTTCTAATTTTCAGTATATGCTCCAATCGATCGTTCCAAACCAAACGTACCTACTCAACGTGGCTTCTAATCGCGTTGTTCTGCTAAGGTCACGTCACCACAAAACATCAAACCCGGTGCAGTCATTCACAGCAAAATTAAGAAATTAAAATACTCAAGCGTGATGCCTGTGTTTGTTGAACAACGATACGAAGTGACCTGGAATGCATGGAAATTTTGATTAGTCATCAGAGTAAAGTGATCGCCAACAAGTATCGTTTTCGGTGTGTGATCCTGAAGTAATTTGCAACATGGAAGCAGCAACTAAGAGTGAAGAAAATGGAAGTTAGCCATGCGACAGTAATTTGGGTGTTTTTCACCACACAAAAGTAGAAGAACCGAGGTCAGAATCAAACGTAACACAATCGACGGTCTGTTCTGGTTTGGAGTTACTGCGCGTCAGGTGAGCTTTTGTGCCAGCACGAATTGTTTGTATGCACAAAGAGCTGGCTTTGCCAGACAGCTCGGTTCGTAAAAACTTCGAGACTCCGTGCATCACCTGAAAGGCTTCGGTAGGAACGGCGATACGATTCGAATTAATCTAATTTATAACAAGTGGACCGAAATTAAGCTTTTTAATTCCACGGGGTTAACCAATGTACAGTGTTCACGGATTCTATCGAGCAATCTCACTGTGTGTGTGCCACCACTGCGTGACACATTGCATGGGCTTACTAGTGAATACACAAGAATGCTGGCTGTAGACCGTGGCAAATTATCCTTCAGTCACAGGCTAAGGCTATATTTCGAAAAGAAGAATACCCCTCAAATTCGCTGCTCGGTAACTCGTTTCGTTATTCTCTGGTCGCTTTAACTCGACTGTGAGCTTTGCTAGCAACTTGTCACTGCCCCATCAGCAAGACATGATATCACATTACTCTTGTGATTTAAGGGAACAAAGCTCTCACACTCCAGGTCCGTTCTGATTCCTATGGACTGTCCACTGAAGTGTCCTGCCATCTCTCCTTGCCATCTCAGCGTCTGGAACGTTAGGGATTCTCGACTCTGGAGTGAACTTAGTGATGGGATCCGTGAGGTGAATCCCGTAATTGAGGGATGAGTGGCGCGATATTCAGTAATGTCCTTCAGGCTTGCCTATGAACAAGACATCTGGCGGCTGGGCAAACGGCTACGCCTTGATACCGCTATCTTTCTGTATATCGGTTTCGTTGTTGAAATCAAACCGTAAGTTGTGCGTCCACAGGGTTACTTATTCCTTTGAGATCTAGATGTCTAGTCCGTTAGTCTCGATATAATCATGGAGATAGCTTAGCTTTTCGCAGAGTGTTACACTGGTAAAAAGCTCGTGGCATCAAGCGAAAGTAGTCATTGTGTCCTTGTGTTAAATTTCTGAACCACGTCAACGAATTCGAAAGTCCTCCGAGGCCTGTAATTGGTAGTGACACGCCGAACTGACTAGCTCCGCTGCTTAACTGAGTAGACTGACTGAGGGACATCGTGTTCGAATTCATTGCACACTCACCTAAAACACTACATATCATCAAACTGCTTGGTTCAAGTTTGTCACGGGTTGTCAGCGGTCTCTAATCAGTCTGAAAGTCTGTAGTATTCTAGCAATTCGATGATCAATGGTCCTGCAAAATGAATATCAAGCTGTTTAGAGTTATGAGTTGTTTCTAGAGAAAAACAGTATGGGGCTATTTCGGATCAGTTTTTATCCGGAGTTGAGATCTGAAATACCCAACTCACTTTGTGCTGTTTCATTACGGCAAAGTTTATGAATTACTGGGTTCTGTTCTCGGTTATTAGAGCCAACATCTGAGTGAGAGTGACAGTGTTCATAAACGAGTACATCTTGTCACCGAACAGATATAAACAGGCAACCGTTTCACTCTGGTTAGTGAATTGTGAACTAACTTGCTCTAGTGCGGTATAACCGCTTATTTCCGTTTTCACGCAACTTCCACAATTCAACAGAAGTTGTTCGTAGAGAGGGAATCCAGTATGAAACGACCGCGGAACTTGGTATAACGGTTTGTGCGAGACGGTCTACTTGTTATTTCCTTGACGAAACATGTTGAATCGCAATCTGGATGCATTAGTTCAGCTGTAGACAATCGGTCTGCACGAAATCCAATCATACTCAGCCAGCTTCTTAACCAATCAGTTTCATATAAATGCCCAAGTGTTTTGCTGACAACTTTTTTTTACTAATAATTCTCTGAAGCTGGCTGATTGCATCTGAATTATTCCAAGACAGCCTAAAATATTCTACCAGAAATAAGTAACATTTATCACATTTTCCGTGAGAACTCTAAGTTACTGCTAAGGTTCGCTGATCTCCAGCTGATGACCAAACCCGGAGCTGCAAAAGGCTTGTTCGATTCACGCTATCGAGAACGCTCGCAGTTCCAGTACCCTGGATATATCTGGCTGTCCATCGTCGCGTCCTGGCTGCGCTTGCAGTCCCCATAAGGAGTTCGATCTCTCGGCTGAGGAGCTCGGTTTCGTCAACCCTAACTATCTGCCCGGACTCCTCCTAAGTAAGTGTACTGCCTAATCCAGTTCAGGCGGTCTGTGTGTGCTAGATCCCTAGGACATGCCGGCGTGTAGAGCGTCTTGATTAGCCTGATTCAGTTACGTTGGTGCTCGGTCGCAAGTGATCAACAGAGGTTTTGAATTTCTGTGAACCACATGCTCAGATGCTCGAGGAGAGAACCGAATTGTGGTCCCCTATGTGTCTGTCCGATGCATCGGAGTTGCTCACCGACAACAGCGGATAATGAAAGATTGCGTCAGGTGCTTCTTGTGAAAATTGAGTGTGTGAAGAGTCATCAACTTGAGGGATTTGGTGACACAACGAGTTCGAAAAGCCCTGAGGATTCCAGGATGACCACTGTGCAGACGTCACCTTCGTAGATGAAAAGGCATTTGACCAGAGAGGATGTATTTGAACACGTGTTGCTTCGTGTTTGAAGTTTTGACATCAGAGTGTAGAAATATGCATCAACTCGATTAAGCCTTGACGGGTGGTGAACAACTAATGTCGTTCAAAGTACAATGTGGGTTAGTGACTCACTTCAAGTAAAACAGAAAGGGACGAAATCAAATTATCGGCGGTTGTCCAGATTAACTTCACTTATTTTGTGAAACGCTGACCTACTTGAACAAGAGCACCGAGGCCTGAATCGCTTTTTGGATCTCGCACCATTCGTACTGTTTCGCTAAAAGTTACCCTACCGCAAGTATTCTACCACATTGGAAGGATAGCCAATTCTCACAGACTAATCTCTTCGTCCGTTTCCACTAGATAAGAGAAAAACTATGCCTGTTTACCCCTTATTTGCTACGAAGGTACTCAACTGATTGCTTACCCCTTTTCGAAGTGTCCAAGCAAACTAACTTGAATTTATTTGTCACGTTTGATAAAAAGCTTGTCCTACTTTCTATTGCTAGACTACTGATGTGAGGAACTGGAGAGCGAATTTTACCATTCTAGAAATTAAGTTTTCACCGGCGCGACCAACCCTGCCGATGTCCTTACGGTCCTCCTAGGATTGGTGAAAAAACCACTTTGTACAGGGTTGTAGAACGATTCCTTAGTACTCTTAGTGGCAACAGGTTCCATACATAGGTCCTGAAATGCACTGTGATATTCACGTAGCCTAAAAACTGTTGTTGGAAGCAGACGACCTTGGTGCTCGTTCTAAGATCATGGTACCCACTGACGTTAATGGGCAATACGACAGCAAGTTAGCAAGGCGAAACCGTCCTAGTTAAACTTCGGAAATGAGTAACAGTATAACGGAATGACCTATTCTTGTGGTTGCGTATGAGTCACCGTATTTTGTCTTGGGTCAGGAGAGTCAGTTTTGGCTGCAAATCAGAATGTGGAGAACTAAAAAGCTTAAAATCCTCGTTCCCAAGTTCAGGATAGTAATGCTAAGGTTGTACGAGAAGTGCATTGGCAGTTTCGGGGACGATGAGTTCGATGCATCGTACAGTCGAAATAGTAAGAAAATATGCATCACACGTGGGTCGCATTTCAGCTAGTTTTTCGAACCATTTCTATATCACACCAGATCGTCATATGCCCACGAGAGACCGAGAATGAAACACTCGGTAACGGGGCTTTATTGTACGAGTGGCAGTTTACGACATCACTGCGAACATTCCACACGTCCATAAATTTATCTGCTTTGTCCCGGCTAACTGAACTGAACTGATGAACAGCAAGAAATAGAAGAACGGTGATTAAAAGATCCCAATTACACACAGGTTCCCTCAAAGGCCTGATAGACTTCAAGTCAAGCTGGATAAGGTGTAACGTTTACCATTCCGCTTACTTACTCAATTTCACATCTACACCTACTATCCCCATCATGTTTTGTCTGCCCCACATTCACATGTCAACAGCGTGACAGGAATACAACCTTGCTGAACAACAGGTCAACTCCGGTTCCG